CCTGCTGTGTTCATCCAGCTCTGCACCTTGTTATCTCAGATTCTCCAGCATCTGCAGTTCCTGCTATCTCTGCTGTTCTTTGGGATTGCTTGCTGGAACAGCCCTGCAACATATTAGCCAGGGAACATGGTGGAGTGTTGAAATGACAGGTGACTGGAAGCCCTTGGTCATTTTTACAGACAGAACATAACTGTTCTGCTGCGCAGTTGCCCAGTCTATGTTTTGTAGATGAGATCACATTGTGAGCAGTGAATACAGTAGATTAGAATGAGTGAAATGCAGGTAAAATCATTGCTTCACCTGGAAGGTGTGTCTGGGGCTTTGGATGGTGAGGAGGGAGGAAGTAAACAGGCAGGTGTTACACCATCTGTGATTGCAGGAGAAGGTGCTGTGAGGCTGTTGGGGGTGGGGGTGGTGTTGGGAGTAGAGGAGGAGTGGACTAGGGTGTCCCAGGGTGAATGGCCCCAATGAAGTCTGACAAGGGAGGGGAGGGGAATATGTGTGGTGGTGGCATCTCGCTAGAGGTAGCAGAAATGCCAACTTACAATCCTCCGGATGGGGAACCTGGTAGGGTGGAAAGTAGGGACCAGGTGGACTCTATCGCTGTTGTGGGAGGGGAGAGAGGGGGTGACGGCTGAAGTGTGGGAGATGGGTCAGACATAGCCGTGGTCCCGGTCAACTACGAAGGGTGGTAAATCCTTGTTTGAGAAAGAAAGTAGACACTTTGGAGGTCTCCTTGTCGAAGCTCATTGGAACAGATGTGATGGAGATGGAGGAATTGCAGGAATGGGATGGAGTCCATACCAGCAGTAGGGTGAGAGGATGTATAGTCAAGGTAGCACTGGGAAGCAGTGGCTTTGTAGCAGATATCAGTCTATCCCCAGAAATGGAAACAGAGATGTTGACAAAGGGAAAGGATGAGTCAGAAATTGACCACATGAAGGTGAGAGTGGGGTGGAAATCGGAAGCAAAATTGATAAGTTTTTCCAGTTCCGAGAGGGAAGCAGCACTGATGATGTCATTGATATTACCGGAGAAAGAGTTATGGGTGGGGGCTGGAACAGGACTGAAACAAGGAATGTTCCATGTATCCCACAAAGAGACAGGCATAACAGGGACCCATGCGGGTACCCACAGCCATTCCTCTGAACTGAAGAAAGTGGGAGGAGTTAAAGGAGAAATTGTTAAAAGTGTTGACAGCTCAGCCAGGTGGTGGAGGCTGATTGATGGATGGGGATGGCTCAGGCTTTTTTCCAGGAAGAAACGGACAGCCCGGAGACTATCCTGATGGGGTGATGGTCGTGTAAAGGGATTGCACATCTTTAGTAAAGAGGAGGTGGCTACAGCCCACCAACTGGAAATTTTGAAACTAACGTAAAGCATCAGAAAAATTGCCAATGTAAGTGAGGAGGGACTGGACAATGGGGAGAAAACAATTGAATCAAAATAAGAAGAAATAAGTTCCGTGGGGCAGAAACAGGCAGAAACAGTAGTCCTGTTCATGGATCTTAGGGAGAAGATAGAAGCGGGTGGTACAGGTTTGGGGGTCTATGAGCTGGGAGGCTGTCATGGGGAGATCCCCAGATGAGATGAAGTTGATGACAGTTGTGGACTCAAAAGCCTGGTTTCTATGATGGGGTCGTGTCCAGGGGAGGTAGCAGCAGGTTTCTGGGAACTGACGCTCAGCCTCCTCAATTGGACCTGAGAGCATGGAGTGCAGTCAGTCAGAGGGAGATAGGTTTGAGTGGGTGAGGGGGCAGAGAAATTAAGATGATTGATGTCACATCGACAGTTCTCAACAAATAAGTCAAATGTGGATAAAAAGTCAGAGGGAGGGATCATAAGTTCATAAGATATAGTGGCTGAATTAGGCCAATCGCCCCTTTGAACTCTGCTCTGCCATTTGATCATGTTTGGTATGCTCCTCATCCCCATTTTCTTACCTTCAACTCATTACCAATTAAAAATCTATCTAACTCCTCCTTAAATTTACTGACTCTCTCAGCATCCACCACTTCGGAGTAGCAAATTCCATAGATTCACAACCCTTTGGGAGAAGTAGTTTTTCCTCAACTCTGTTTTAAATTTGCTATCCCTCATCCTAAGACTATGACCCCTTGTTCTAGAATGCCCACGAGAGGAAGCATTCGCTCCATGTCTATTTTATCTATACCTTTTATCATCTTGAATACCTTAATTTGATCTCCCCTCAATCTTCTAAATTCCAGAGAGTATAGGCCTAAACTGTTCAATCTCTCTTCATACGACAAACCCCTCATCTCTGGGATCAATCTAGCAAACCTCCTCTGAACTGCCTCCAATGCCACCACATCTTTCCTCAAATAAGAAGACCAAAACTGTGCACAATACTCCAGGTGTGATGTCACCAATGCCTTGTATAGTTGAAACATACTTCCTTACCTTTATATTCTATTCCTTTTGCTATAAAAGCCAACATTCCATTCACTTTCTTTATTATCTGCTGTACCTGCATACTACTTTTCTGTTACTCATGAATGAGGACACCCAGATCCCTCTGCACCAGAGCAAGTCGAAGTCTCTCCCCATTTAGATAATAGGTCACCTTCCCATTTTTCTGACAAAAATGCATGACCTCACACTTATCCACCTTAAACTCCTTCTGCCACATTTTGGCCCACTCTCCTAACCTATCTATATCCATTTGAAAGGTTCTTATTTCCTCATTGCAATTTACTGTCTGGCCTATTTTTGTGTCATCCGCAAATTTGGCTATAGAGCCTTCTATCCCTGTATCCAAGTCGTTAATGTTGATTGTAAATAGCTGGGGTCTAAGGACCGAGCCCCGTGGCACCCCACTTATTACTTCTTGCCATCTAGAAAAAAACCCATTTATCCTGACTGTCTGTCTCCCACCCATCAGCCAGGCACCTATCCAAGCTAATAAATTACCCCTAATCCCATATGATCCAACATTGTGAATTAACCTTTTGTGTGTCACCTTACCAAATGCCTTCCAGAAGTCCAGATATATTACATCTACAGGATCCCCCCATTATCCACTTTGTTTGTTACATCTTCGAAAAACTCCAGTAAATTAGTCAAACATGATTTGCCCTTCATAAAACCATGCTAACTCTGATGGATAGCATTTTGACTTTCCAAATTTCCTGATATTGCTTCCTTGATAATTGATTCTAACACTTTCCCAGGTGGAGGGAGGGTTATGGACCAGAAATCACCCTCAACATTTCAAGGAGATAGCCTAGACCCTAACTTGTATCTTTTTCAAAGGCAAGTGTAAGGCGCAATATTCCAGAAGTAATTTGATTTGTTTACTATTAGGCTTTAAGCAAAACACACTTTATTCTTACAACACAGTTAAAACACAAACAAATAAAAAAAGGGCATAACTTTGACTCTATTGAAATACTTAATGAAACAACTTATTTAACAACTAATTATCAACTGTTCCAATATTGCAGCATTCCATAAACACACCCTTGGCAAAGGCAAATTCAGCAAAACCAGATTTTTCTCTCATGCTATGTCTCTTCCAGTACAGCAGAAAGGAACACCAGAAGAATCTAACTGCAGAAAGAGATCTCTAGCTTTTAGCTGAAGCAGCAGAGAGAGACCGAGAGAGAGAGAGCTGTATCTATCAGCTTCAACAGCCAACTCCAAACCCCAACTGAAAGCAAAACTAAAACCCTGAGTCTGTGTGGGCCTTACAGCACCCACTCATGCTTCTTTTGTATAATTAAAAAAAAAATCACACAAGGAGTGCAAAGCTGTTTACCGACTGCTTCTGAAGCAGACATTCAGCTCCACTGTGATACCACCTGTCTGCAAGAGAAATAGCACACAACAGATCTCTCTTAAAGGCACAATACTGTCACAGGAGAGTGTTGAAGGCAAGTGAAGGCGTCCCTTTGATGTTGGGGGGATAACTCCTGCCCACAGAAATGGGCACGGAGGTGAGGGCGATACAAGAAGAGTTCAACATCAAGTCCAGCCTGAAATTCATTGACGCGGGGGCACAGAGGGATAAAACACAGCCCTTTGCTGAGTATAGAACATTCAGCATCAGAGAGCAGAAGGTCTGAATGGATAGTAAACATCCAACAAGAGTTAGCGTCGGGAGAAAGGATGGAGTCAGAGAAAAGTGTAGGGGCGGGAGGTTGCAGAGTATCTAACAGTTCTGTTGGAGCTAACAGACACAAAACATTAACTGTACTTTCTTCCCATAGACACTGCCAGACCTGCTGGGTTTTGCCAGTAATTTCTGTTTTTGTTTCAGATCTCCAGCATCCACAGTTCTTTGTTTAATCTAGTAAATTGATCAGGCATTACTTCCCCTTCATAAAGTCACTTCAACTCTACTTGATCATATCATACATTTCTAAATATACTGTGATTACATCCTTTATAATAGACAAATAATTTCCCAATAACAGATGTTAAACTCACTGGCCTATAGTTAGAAAGGTATATGTCTAGACTCAGTCCTTTAACCTCTGGAGTTTAATAACTGTTACTGAGACTAGCTTTATATTTTGGATTTTTCAAAATTCAAATTCCTCTCGAATAATATTTTCATGTTGAATTGAGCAAAACCTGTTCCTTTTTTCAAATTTCTTTGAATATTTTTTGAAAATGCACAGATTGTATTACTGATCTTTGTGTCTTCCAGATATCAACTTGTGGTGATTGTACTGACATACCTCTTACCATTGATGGTGATGGGAGTCGCCTATACAAAGGTGGGGAAAACACTGTGGGCCAGCGAAATACCCGGAGACTCAACAGAGAGATATAGTGAGCACCTGAATGCAAAACGAAAGGTTTGTAGCAAAATAAAGAAAATCATTCGTCATCAATTTGAATCAGAGAGGTGGGCATATACCGTGATAAATGGTTACAAGCATCTACAGACCAATGGGGTTCATTCATTCAATTAAACTCACTGCCATGGTTGTTACTGAATGTGATAGCAAGTTTACATCCTTATTCTTTGAATTCTTTAATTTTTAATTCACTCATGGGATATGGGTGTTCCTTGCTAGGCCAGCATTTATTGCCCATCTCTAATTGCCCTGGAGAAAGTGGTGGTGAGCTGGCCACTTGAACTGATGCATTTCCAGCAGTTGGGGAGAGAGAGTAGAAGTTGGGGGGAGAGAATGTGGTCAGCTGGGTGGGGACAGGAGAGGGGGTGGGAAAGGAGAATGGAGAGGGCGGGTAGTGGTGGGGGTTTTAGACCGTGAATGGGGTACGGGGAGAGAGTGGACAGGGCAGCAAGAATTGGCAAATTGGATCCAGAATTGACTGAGTAGCAGGTAGCAGAGTGTGGTGGTGAATGGGGGGTGTTTTTACGGCTGGAAGTCTGCATCCAGTGGAGTTCCATAGGGTCATTGTTGGGTGGTCCTTGCTGTTTGTGATTTAGATAAATGATTTAGACTTGAGTGTAGGAAGGTTAAATATGAGGTGATGCACTTGGGCAGGACAAACAAGGCAAAGGAATACACAATAAAAACTGTAGGACCCTGGGAAGCACCGACGATAAGAGGAAACTTGGTGTGCATGTCTGTTCCCTTAAGGTATCAGGACAGTTGGATAAAGTGGTTAACAAAGCATATGGTATATCGGCCCTTTATCACTCAAAGCATTGAGTTTAAGAGCAGGGAGATTATGCTGAAACTGTATAAAACAGTAGTTAGGCCACAGCTTGAGTATTGTGTGAAGTTCTGGAATCCACATGATAGGAGTTAAATGATAAGACTGGAAAGGACGCAGAGGAAATTGAGAATCATAGAGAGATGCATACAGGGTAAAACAGGCCCTTCAGGCCACCATGTCTACACCGACCAACAAATACCAAATTACACTAATCCCATTTACTTGCACTTGGTCTTTGTCTGCTAAGCCATGCCATCTTAAGTACTCATCCAGATGCTTCTTAATGTAGCGAGAGTACCTGCCTTCACCACACTACCACACTCTTAGGAGCACGTTCCATATCTCTACCATCCTCTGTGTGAAAAAAAATTCTCAGATCTCCTCTAAACCACTTATTCCTCATCTTAAATGTATGATCATATACATGTCTGCCATGAAGAAGAGATTCTGACGATTTACCCCATCTATGCCTCTCGTAATATACCTCAATCAGATCCCCCTCAGCCTCCTCTGCTCCAGGGAAAACAAACCCCAGCCTATCCAGTATCTCCTCATTGCTGAGACATTGCATCCCAGGCAACATCCTGGTGAATCTCCCCTGCACCTACTTCAGAGCAATCACATCCTTCTGATGTGTGGTGACCAGAACTGCACACTGTATTCTATCTGTGGCCTAACCAAAGTTTTGTAAAGCTGTAAATTTACCAGGATGTTGACTGGGCTCGAGAGTTCCAATTATGAAGAGGTCATAGAACATAGAATCCCTACAGTGTGGAAACAGGCCCTTCGACCCAGCAAGTCCACACCGACCCTTGGAGCATCCCACCCAGACCCATCCCCCTGTAACCCACCTAACGTACACATCCCTGAACACTACAGGCAATTTAGCATGGCCAATCCACCTAGCCTGCACATCTTTGGACTGTGGGAGGAAACCAGAGCACCCAGAGGAAACCCACGCAGACAGTCGCCCGAGGATGGAATCGAACCCGGGTCCCTGGCGCTGTGAGGCAGCAGAGCTAACCACTGAGCCACTGTGCCACCCGATATTGGACAGACTGGGGTTGTTTTCCTTAGAGCAGAGGAAATTGAGATATATAAAATTATGAGGGGTATAGGTAGGATAGACAAGGATGAAGGGATCATTGACTTGGGACATAGATTTAAGGGAAGGGGTAGAATATTTAGAGGAGAACTGAGAAAAAGTTTTTTAATCCAGAGGGTGGTGGGAATCTGTAAGAGTGATAAAGGCAGAAACCCTCATAATGGTTAAAGAGTATTCAGATGCGTACTGGCAATGCCAAGGCATACGAAGGCTATGGTCCAAGTGCTGGAAAATAGAGATGCAGGGCCAGGCAATATATTGTTCTGCATGATATAGGAGCTGGTGGACCCCATTGTGGTTTGTGGTGGCTACATCTGTAGCAAGTTGTTGGTTGCTTGAGAAACTCTGGCTCAGAGATGATGAGCTGGAGCCTGATCTTTGAACACTGTTACACATCAGGGAGGCGGAGAGTTACCTGGATGCTGTGTTTCAGGAGGCAGTCACACTCCTTGGATTAACCACCTCGAACTCGGTCAGTGGTTAGGGACTGGAGGGTGTGACTACAAGCGAGGCAGGTAGAGGGATCCAGGAGGTAGTGCTAAAGGAGTCTCAGCCCCTGAGCTTGTCTAACAGGCATGACATTCTTGCTCGCTGTGTGGACAAGAGTGGCGGCTGTATGGAGGATGAGCAAACTAACCATAGCACCATGATATGGAGAACCATTCAAGAGTGAGGAGAAAAGAGAAATGTAGTTCTAATCGGGGTGGTATATTCAGCAGAATAGACACTGATCTCTGTGGCCAGGATCGAGAGTCTCAAAGAATGTGTCGCCTGCCTGGTCCCTGAGTTTAGGATACCTCATCTGAGCTGCAGAGGAACTTGGATGTGGGAGGGGAACAATCCAGTTATGGTTCACGTAGGCACCAATGATAGAGGTAGAAATTGGAAAGAGTTTCTGCTGAGGGAATATGAACAGCTAGAAGCTAAATTAAGAGGCAGAACCAAAAAAAAAATCTACCTGAGCTAATTAGCACAGGGTCAACAAGATTAAAGAGGTATGGCTCAATTATTGGTGAGGGAGAAACAGGTTTAAGTTCATGGGACATTGGTACCAGTACTAGGGAAAGAGGGAGCTATTCCTTTGGGACAGGCTCCATCTGAATCAAGCTGGGACCCGAGTCCTGGTAAATCACATACTGGAGCTGTGGATAGGGCTTTAAGTTAAGGAGTTGAAGGAATGATGGGGATGGTGGGAGGGGTGGGTTCACTTGCACTGAAGCTTAGAAAATCAGAGGTAACGGAGAAGACAGGAGTGCAGATTAGTGACGGGGCTGATCGTTACCAGAAAATAAAAGGAAGGGACAGAATGTGTGAATGTCAAGTTGCACCAAAGAACCATCAAAGTGTAGGGAAATATAGTAATAGAACAAGCTTAAAGTCTTTGTATCTTAACACATGAAGCATTCGGAATAAGGTAGACAAACTGACGGCACAATTTGAGAGAAATGGATGTGATCGCATAGTCATTATGGAGATGTGATTACAAGGAGATCAAAACTGGGAACTTAGCATTCAGGGATATTTGACCTTTTAGTAAAAACAGGATGGAAGTAAAATGTGGTCAGGTAGCATTGTTTAATAAGAGATGAAATGAGGACAGTTGTGAGAGTTGATCCAGGCTTCGATAGTGTAGAGTCCATTTGAGTGAAGACAAAAAGTAGCAAGGGAATAAAGATATTGATAGGAGTAGTGTACACACCCCCAAACAGGAGCCACACTGTAAAAGGCTATAAATCAACATATAGTAGAAGCATGTAAAAAGAATAGAGCAATAATTATCGTAACTTTAATCTTCATCTTGATGGTGTTAATAGAACTGGAAGGGTAGCTACAACAACAAATTCATAGACTACATTAGGGATAGTTTCCCATGTCATACAGCCAAACAGGGAACAAGCTCTCACACATTTGGTTATAGGTAATGAGGCAAGTTTAATAAATAACCTTGGAGTAAAAGATCCCCTAGGAAGTAGTGATCATAACATGACAGAATTTAATATTCAGTTTGAGAGTGGGAAACTTGGATGTGAAACAACTGCGTTTAACTTAAAGGGAATTTCAATGAAATGAGGAAAAAGTGAACGGGTGGATAGATTAACAGGCATGACAATAAGAAAGCAATGGTGGTCATTTAAGGAGGTAATTTTCAACTCTCAGCAGAAGTACATCCTAGTAAGAAGGAAAAATTCTCCGAGAGGGATAAACCAAGCATAGCTATCCAAGCAAATTAAGGAGAGTACTAAATTGAAAGAAAAAGCATATAAGGAGGCAAAAGTCAATGATATCCCCCGAAGACTGGGATAAATTTGAATCCAGCAAAGAAGCACTAAAAGATAATAAAGAGAGAGAACATAAACTATGAGGCAAATTAGCAAAGAGTATAAAAACTGACAAGAGGAGCTTCTTTAAATATATAAACAGGAAGAGAGAAGTCAAAGTGGCCATCGTCCCCACAGAAAATGAATGTGGGAAGACACTTATGGGGAACAAGAATGTGGCAGAGGAGACAAACAGATATTTTGCATCAGTCTTCATGGGGGAAGATACTTCGAATATCCCTTTAACACTAAAGAATACAGGGGATGAGCTAACTACCATCACCATCACTAAAGAGATATATTAGATAAAATAATGGACCTAAAGGCAGTTAAGTCTCCTGGCCCTGATAGCTTGCATCCTAGGATTGTGAAAAAAGTAACTACTGAGATAATGGATACACTGGTTGTAACTTCTTAAAAGTCCTATTATCTGGAGAAATCCCAGATGATTGAAAAGCTGCCAATGTGACACTCCTATTCAAAACGGGAAGGCGGCAGAAAGTGGGTAGCTATAGGCTGATTAATCGAACGTTACTGTTGGAAAGGTATTAGAATTAATTTTTAAGAAAGTAATAATATTTAGAAAACCATAAACTAATCAAGCAGAGTCAGCATGGGTTCGTGAAAATGAAATCATGTCTGACTAATTTATTAGAGTTTTTTAAGGAAGTCTCAACCAGGAACCATTAGATGTGTTGCATTTGGATGTCCAGAAGGCATTTGGCAAGATACCTCACAAAGGGTT